ACCTTCATACAACAACATAAAAGGGTAATGTAATCGATACCCTCATTGAATTGGTGTTAATTTTGCCTGCTAAATTAGAATTTTTCACCCACTCTGTGCAAAAATGCTTTTTCAGCATTTTTAATGCATCTGCTATTGTGCGGTGTAGCTGTAATACTAGTAATGGAAAAGCTATCCTGAAAAATTAAATTAAATTCTACTGAAATATTTACTACTGTATCTTTTATTTTTGTGACATTTCCCTATGAAATACCAGCAACCCTGTATTAGGTAATGTGCATGTTGGTGTGCATTCACCATCCCAGAGCACAGGGCCAGATCTGGTGAGGATCTGCAGACACTTGGGGATAGGATATACTTGCTGTTGTTCTCAAGGACAAAATGAGGTGACTAATGGGATTGGCAAGAGCACTGGTTGGAGCTTTAGCAATCAGAATACCTTCTAAAACTTATCCTGATCCTAGATAGACTAGAAAAGCAAATAGGACTGGAGAGAAATGTCTGTAACTGTGTCTTTCCCAGAGGACCTCAAAGGAGAAAGTAACTTCCCCAGAATTAGCCAGAGACTCTGAAGCAGTGTTGGACTTTGCACCCAGCTCTTGCAGTACATTGCCATAAACACAGAATAGAAATACTTTTGGACAGTGAATGGGGAAAAGGGTCAAAATTCAAAGTAGTTCACAACTGTGTCTGAGAAAATATTTGCAGACACATCCTCTTACTCATTCCTCTCTGCCAGTTAGTAGTAAGTGTTGCATTTGGAACTCTATAAGAGCTGAAAGATTTATTTAGATGTGCATGATTTATTTATTCAGGTAACTCCCTCTGGTACTATTTATGTAGTTGTGCATTTTCATATTCCAGTAAGTTAGTGAAATGCAACATGTTGATGCACAACTGGAATGTTAAGCAAATAAACAGTGTTGGGCTCCACTTCTCTTGATTAGGTCATGCTTTAATTAAGTTTTCTGTATGAATTCATATCTCTTGATGGATATTAGGACAGGCAGCAGGCTCTTAATGGTGCCACATTTTGGCACTGGAACTTCTGGGTTACCGCCAGTCCTTGTACACAAAGACTGTGTTGATAGAATTGCGATAAGGGCTCAGGGGGAGATAAGGGCTGTGTTTTGGCCCAATGGCTTGACCTTGCTCTTGTTGATCCAACAGTAAGAGTCCTATTGATTTCAGAGTGATTGGGACACATGAATACATTTTCATTCTGGAGAGCTGTGTGCAGGCAGATGGGAGGAACTGCTGGTGCTGATGCTGAGTGCAATTTGTTGGTACACAGGTGCCTGTTCTTGCGTGAATCAGTCCTTCCTTTGGCATGGCAGCTTTATGTATCCGTGTTTTGTGTGTGAATGCAATGTTTGTCAGGCACTTGTTTGGCAGTCCTGGAGACAGAAGTTCTCTGTGCGCTGGGTGTCTGCCTCGGCGGCGGCGCTAATTCACAAGCTGTGTTGCGATGCTTGCCGGGGTATCAGAAGGCAGGTCTGAGACACTGGTGAGTGTTCACCAGGCCTGTTAACCCCATCAGGCTGTAGCCACACACTTGAGTTTGGTATTCTCATCACCTAAATTCCTAAACGTACTTCTAAGGCACACTCCCTTCTAACACAAGCTGCCCAAACATCTGTGGCGAGACTAAGGAAAACATGAAGAAAAAGACCCAAAGATGAATATTTCAGCAGAAACGTGGGAAGGAATGCAATGTAGCTCACGCAAAACCTTCTGTAGTGTATGCCATAAATTAACACAATATAAATTTATACATATTTACACCACATAGACTAAAATATATAAATCCTCAATACTCAGCCTTCTGTAGTAGGTGTAAGCAAGCAGTCCATATGTTTAGCTGATTTCTGAGGAGCTCTAGGGAACAAAATGTATCTTTGTGGAACTTGTGATATTAAGGAGATTATAAACTAGGGTAATCAGTGCAGTTCTCAAAAAGGGTTAGCTTTTCTGCAGGCTGAAAACAAGCAGCCATCTCCTGATTTGCTATCTGAGGCTTTAATTCAGCCAGGTGCTAAAATCCACATGTAATATTTAAGTGCATGAATAGTCCTATTGATGTTGAAGGCCCAAAGATCAATCCTTACTCGTCGGATTTTCCTGGCTTTAGGCTGCATGAGTCCGTTTTCCTCTTACATTTGTGTACTTTCATTGCAAATAGAAGCTTGTAACATCTCATTAGGTACCAGGTGTTTCCTTTTCCACCATTTCACACTGACTATTCTAAGCCAGTATCATATTAGCCCCTTTTTATGCTGTTCAGCAGATAATTGGATCTCTAACATTTTTTCTGTCTCTTGGTTTTTTAAACAAGAAGAGAAAAAATTTTGGTATGTTCATGATATGACATCTGAAGTCCAAATATCAGGGTTTTCTTTCCAGCTATACCGGTTTCCAGGAATTAAGAAGAATGATGTAATTCATGAGTAATCTTTTGGGATTTATATGTCTGAAATGTTGGGAAACCCTCCTTTTCACAGGAGTGTGGAGAGGATGAGAATGAAGGAAAATGGGGAGAAGAAAATGGAGAAATTGTTTGTAGGTTTTATGAAAAACTGTCTTGCCACTCGTTCTTTAGCACAGAGACAGGTTATTGGCAGGCTCTCACTTTGGCCACCTCCTCATACCAGTGCCTCTGAAAGTCTAGAAAGTCTCTGGAGATGGAAAGGAGCCCCTCCAAAGTACACTTTTCTGGTGCTGCTGTATCAGCACACTTTCCACCTTACATCAAGGTTCTACTTCCCCATTAAAAAAATACCTCCAAAAGTATCTGATCAAGCCCAGCATTTCCAAGCCACACCATCAAGGTGATGTTCTAGAAAGACGTGATAGCGTGCAAGGTGTCAGCACAGAGAGGTGCAGCTAGGGCCTAGTGGGGATTAAGGTCTTCATGCATGTGATGACTGCATCTTGCTTTGTGGCTCTGCTACTGGGAGAATCTCTTAGCAGAAATATGAGCAGGTACCAGCAAAACTAGAAGAGGCTCGGTTCATGCCAGCTGCTATACGATGCTAGTTTAAACATCTAAAAATATCAAAAGCTGTGTACATTAAAGAAAGTCTCAGAACCTAACCTGCACTGGGCCATTTCAAAAGGTATGTCAGTGTTTCCTGCAGCTGCATACCTCCTTTGGCAGGGCTGCAAACAGCAAGCTTCTCATCACCTGTGTCTCTCTGCAGTCAGGGATCCAAGGATCCAAGACCCAGATATCCTTCCTGTCAGCTGGAATAGAGGCGAAGACCAAATGGAGGAGATATTCTTCATAGGTCAGAGCATCCTTCCCTGCCTTTTCTTCCAGGCCATGAAGAAGCCATGACATTTGGCAACAGACTGCCTTTCCAGCATACTACAGGACTGCAGCTCTAGTGAGTGTCCTAAGGTGTCCTTTCCTCCTGATGGAAGGTAGGGTGGCTGGAGAGAAGCAAAGGCAAGTGGACTTTTATGTGGACAATATTGTAAGGAGTACCTGGCAGCCAGAAGTTAAGCATCAATTAAATTCTGGGCCTTGAGGGAAAGAAGTAGTCCCTATTTAATTGCAGAAGGTGAACTATGGCCATTATGCTGAAGAGAGTCACAAGTCTTTTTTGTTTGCAAAGCACTTGGAGCCAGTGTCACTCTACATTACAACAAATCTAATTTTCTGTGTTGCTGATGGCCAGTCATAGGATCTATGATTGCAACACTCAGCACTGCCCTGTCACCTCCCAAAATACCATTTTTTCCCTTTCTTATTTGTCTATATATAAGAACATAACCCTATCCTTTGGCACATGTTCATGTACAAACCAATTATTATGGCTACACAAACTGAGATGACAAAATATACTCTTCTTAGGGGACTTGGACCTTGTTGGGACAAAGCTGGTGATGCAGCAGAAGTGAAAAACTCCTTTTGCGCGGACCACTTTCCTCTTACTTGCTTATTTATACCCATCAGCTCAGTAAAGTACAAGATGTTTCAACAGGGCTGGGAGAAATAAGGCTTCCAGTTGCTCCCTCCCTTTGCCACTTGCTCTTTTATATGGGCACAGGACCTTCAACTGAACACTTTGTTTCTCCTTATGTGCTCTTTATGTGGATGTAAGTGCTTTGCTTTAAGTGGGAAGGAATCAGCTAGAGGGATGACAAGATCGTTCAGTCATTTGTTTACTTTAGCTCATTCTATCTGCAAATTTATATTAGGCCAGTTTTGTGCTATCTGAACACTTCTAGTCTGGTGTCATCAGCCTTTGACCTTCAGCAGAACTGGTAGAAAAGATGATCACAACTTGGAAATTATTGTGAGGCAGAGATTCTATCCCTGCTAGTTGGACTAACAAACTTGCTGTAATGTCAGGACCTGAATGAGGCATGCCTGGTAACTTCTTTTGGTAAGAGTCTGACCAAAAGAGGTCAATACAGTATGCATATTTACTCATCATCTTATGAATCTGTTATAGGAGAGGATCAGTTTGACACTTCATGTCTAAGTGGATGCAACCTCCTTGAAGAAAAGCAAGCAGCACCCAATGAAAATGCAAAAAAGAAGGCTAGTATGGTATATCTTTTTAGGCTATTATGGCAAACTAGTTAACTCTGTTTTGTTTTGTTTTGTTTTGTTTTGTTCCATAATAAATATCTTTGGTGTCATGCCAGGGGTACTAATGGATTCCCAGTGGAATAAATTTCAACCCTGCAGTCTCAAGAGTTGGGCCTCCAGCTGGCTATATACAGATGTACTTAATCTAAGTGTTGTCCTTACTGGAACAAGCTCCCCTTAGAGTGATTCCCATCTAGTCTGTAGGGAGAACCCAATGTCCAAGTGTATTGCCACAAATGACCCAACACTAAGTGTCAAAGGATAAGACCCAGCAGCATTTAGAAACTCTCGCCCACACACATTTCCCTTCTGCTGCCCATCCCTTGCTAAAACCCAAGTGCTTCAGCATGACTCTGTTACCTGTGTTTAGTTAGGATTTGCTGTTCTGTTGTGAGGGAGATTGGTAAGCAGCATGAGTTTACATGGGAAAAAAAAGGATTTTTACATTTTTTTTCCTTTAATAGCGTTTCTCCCCTTTGTTTTGCTCTGTACAATTATTACAGTATTGTTTGATTACATTGCTCCTTTTTTATCCCTCTGTGCAGACCAAGCATGCTGAAAATGAAAGGCAGCATGTAACCTTATGAAGTCACTAATTGTAGTACTGCAGGTGAGTTGAATAACAGACTATGGTAAATTTTGGTCTGAAGTTCTTTCCTGAAGTATAAATTGGACAACAGCAGGAGAGAGAACAAAAGCTATTTCCTACCTGATGTTCTAGGAAACCTGTTCCCAGTTCTTCATGTAGGACTGCTGCTGTACTTGAATATATTAAAATAGGGACACATGAATGACATTGATACTCTGCAGTGGAAATAGCTGAGCCTTTTGTATTTTCACCATTGCATGAGACTTATGATAATCTGCTTCTTTCTCTAAATGGAAACCCTCCAGGGAAGTTTTGTGTACTCTAAATAGCATCTCTGTGTGATCAGAGACTTGGCTTCATGTGCATGTAATGCATAATAGATAAAGATACAACAATATAAATGCAGATTAGAGGTTATTCAGTCAAGGCAAGCATGTTTTGGGGGTGGGAGGCAAATTATAAAAATGCCAAACAATACATACTGCTATCCTTTCTGGCAAATCTCCATATTTTACCAAAACATCGTTATAATTCTTAGCAGCAAACGGGATCTATCTCATAAATACCTATGTCTAAATCTTACTGTCCTTATGTGTACACTCAGCAGATAATCACATTGACTTTTCTCTAGCCTTGTTGAATCGAATGTCATATAGCTATTTTGAAGTGATCTCAGTGCTGAAAATAGTCTGCCAACAGATATGGATATAAACTTTCATAAGAATATTTGCATCCTCAAAGCAATGTATAAACATCAGTTGATCAAACCCATTAAAATCACTGGGATACGAATAAGTAGCATTAATATGTTTTCTAGATCCACACAGAGAAAAGGCCCCCCAGCCCTCTCAGCACAGAGATAGAGCTCAGCTTTGACTTTAGCAGAGCCAATGGCTTCTTAGTTGGGTGAATAAACTCCATTTTTCTAGTTGTTCAAGAGATGATCACAGAATTTTCTTTGCCTTAGGGTTGTCTACATAAAAAAGTTAGTGCTCATGGTGCTCAGATGAAAACTGATATCACATTAGGTGTATGGACTAATTCTTTCTGTAAGTTCAGTGACAACTCCCTTTTTAATGGTAAGATGGTGACCCTGAACTAATGCTCTTAGAGGAGCATCTCTGTCATCCTACTGCTACTTCTGCCTTTTTGTGAGGATGAGTTTTCTTTTTATCTCTAAACTGTATCATGAAAGAACCAAAGATACGCTTCACATATGGTCATGGACTTACTGTAATGAATATGGAGAAATAAAGGTAATTTCCTCTCTTTAGGTGAAAATTATGGTACAGTTATTCAAAATATATGAACGAGAGAGGCTTGCTTATTACTATCCTTAAACACTTCCCTTTTGACCAGTTGATGTTTCAAAGGGAATCAGTGGTTACAGCAAGAAACCACTTCTTCTTTCTGGATAGGAGGCTCTGTAATAAGAAAACAAGTTATTTTATTACCAACTGCGAGAACACACATCCATCCCTGCTGCTGCAGCAGATGGACATGTTTTCTTTGACCCTAACTACATGATATGCATTCAGGCAAGTAGTGAACTTAGCAGTATTCTCTAGGGATACCGTACTCTGAGCTCCCAGTATGAAATCCTAGGCCGGGAAAAGTGCAAGTCCCAGCGTTAAGTATAACCAAGGATCTGCCGTATGCACACAGTGGACTGGCTATAGGGAGGTAAACAAGTTGCTGTGAGTTTTCAATTTTTAAAAAACTTTTGTAATTTGTAATTTCAAAAAATCCGCCTTTTATTTTTCAGTTGAAATTCGTTTTGGCTTTGTTAGGGATCTTGCTGCAGGAGAAAACATAGGCACATCAACCTCAAAGCTTTGTCCAAGTCATCTCATCACAGACTGAATTCAGGTTTTCCTCTATTCTGTAAAAGGCTTTGAATACTTAGCTTTTAACCAATTCTACCATGCTATTAGGCATTGCTAGATGAATTGGTACATTTGTTATCTTTTTCAAATTTTATATAAACAACCTTTAGTGGAGCAAGAACAGAACCTTAAACACACATGCTCTCTGGCCACTGGCTACGCTGTCATTCTCTGTGTGCCCTTTAGCCCAAGAAGCAGTTGAATGTTTACAAGTACCTAAAACAAGAGGCTTCACTAGAGCTTTGGATTCTGCTACTTAGAGCAGAGGCAGAAAATTGAACTGGTGAGAGACTAAAGCAAGCTGATGGTTAGGGCTCTCCTCTGCTAGTGAATGTGTATTTGCACAAAGTAAAGAGAAGAGTTTGAGGGTACCCAGCACAGTGGCAACAGATGGTAGGTTAGTGGTAAAGGGATGCTTCCAAATAAGGAATCTCCTGTCCTTAGGCAGAGAAATGAATTGTCCTAAGTACTTCGGTATTTTGTAAATGGGATAAGCCTAAGTAAGAATTTTGTGAATAGTTTACTGAAATACGATACCATCACTAGATGAAACTGCCTGATGAGCTCAGCATACATCTGCATATACTTTGCAACAATCCAAGCTACACTCATTGGATGAATTTGTTACTTGCTGAATTTTGTACCTAATTCATGTTTCATCTCACTTTATGGTAATTTTGTGTATGGTAATATTTTGCCCTTCTCTGTCGAAGTAGTTTAAAAATGAAAGCAGGAATCCAGAATGGCCTTTAAAGCCTTTCATATATGCAGAGCCAACTGCCAGTGCTTGTGGGAGGCCAAGTTCTGTCTTCAAGCACAGTTTTTTGGGTTTTTTCTGGCCTCTATAGGAAGTCTAGAACTTGTATCTTGGAGAAGAATTTACCAGTGAATAACCACCTCGATCATCCCCCCTGAGGCTGCAACAGGTGTAGTCACCACAAATTATGTCTTCACAGGAAACTAGGAGCAAACGAATGCAAGCCTGGTTTGCCACTTGGAGAGGCCAGACAAGAGTAGGGTGAGTTTGAGCTAAGAAGTTCTTAGCACCAGTGCAGCCTTGAATGATGAAGACAATTACAAAAGCAGGGTTCATTCATGCGGGTGTAATTACTGTGTGCTTAAATTAGTTTTGAAGGTGGAACTTTAGCTTCTAGGTCTTGTCAGAAATTTTCAAAAGAACCTACCTCTCTGAGCTACTGCCAGTTTCCTATTGTATGCATGTACAAAAATCTCATTTTCAATCTTGATAAGCTCTTGGCTTTAATAATGTCTCAAGACTGCAGGTTTCCTAGCTTATTTATCATGCACTGAATAAAAAAATTCCTTTTGTTGTTGGTAAATTCACTGCCTTTTTGTTTCCTTGAGTATCAGCTTGCTTTGTATTGTCTGAAGAGATAAAGGGGAATACCCCACTTAACCTCTCAACATCATTCTCTGCTTTCTTTTCAAGTAATTTTCGAATGCCTGTAATACTGTATAACTTGTGTAAATGCTACCTTTTAAGAGAAAATAATGAAATCTCTCAGTATCCATATAATGAACTCCTCTGTTACATTCCACTGCCTAATAACATTGTGGGTTTTTTCCATTGAGGGATGCCTTATTCGGTCGTTCTGACAAACTGCTGTTTTCTTGTAGCAAAATTGTTCAACATAGTGTTTTTACTGTTTTGTCAATAAGCAAAGGAAATAAAAACCTTATGGGATTTGAACAAGAACATTCACACTCCGTATGTGAGCTGCGTTTGAATTGGAGTGTGGTGGGGAAGCAGAGTATAGTATGCAACCTGTTTACTGAAGTACATGCCAGCAAGTGAGATTTCATTCCCGCTTGCTAGGATCTCACTTTAGACCCATTTTCGCTCTCTTTTCCTTTGCACTGCTCCCTCACAATATCCAAATGCTAGCAGCTTTTTTAATTGCTAGTTTTGAACAAAATTCTTTCATTTTTAATTTTTTTTTAAGTGTTCATCCTTACACTGGACTTCCAGGATCAAATTATGCAGTATCTGCTGTAATAAAATGACCTAGTAAGACTTGCTGTTCCTCGAGCATTATCAGTCAGTTGGGAGCTCAGCAGCACAAAAGAGGTAGATCTATCTCTGAGCTGAGTACTTGGAATCTCTCTGAATTTAGGCCATGTCTACAACTGAATTTCAGCTTTTTTTGCTGATGAATTAACGAATGGTATGAAACTGTGAATTGGAACTATTCATTTTTTTCTAATCACATGAGGAAAAGATTGAATGCAGGAAACCTGAAGTTGATTCAAGTGACGCAGTGTTACATAATATGTATTAAGCCTGTGGAAAGCATTGCCATGAGCTATCCACAGATGCTTCTGAGGATATAAAGATCATCCAGAACTGCCTTAGACAAGATTTAAACTTTTCCAGGGGACTGTGAGTTCAAAATGGAGTAAGCCATTCATTGATTTTCTGCTGTTCCTATGTGCCAATTATTCATCAACTGACCACGTCAGGTAATAATACTTGCTTGTTTCTGGCCACTCATTGGAAGCACATCAAATGGAATAGATTTTATGCCAGTTGTCTGCTATGATGCTGCAGTTCCTGTGTTTGCTATCAATTGTGAGTTTAGACAGGTTCAAATTATGTTAATTAGTCTATTTTGATGTCAGTGTTCCCTATCTGTTGTGACTGACACAGCTCCACCCACCTGTTAATGAATATGTTAATTAACTCATATTAGATACCTAAATATGGCTCTGGAGCCTGGGGAATAGTGACAGCTGATGGCCCTTCAGGGCATAAATGGTTTCTCACTACGATCAATATTCTCCACTGCTGAAAATGCTTCTTACCTTTTTGGACTTACACTCACTTAACTCTCCCTCTGGCAGTTGTTTGCAATACTGAAGTGCAACCAAGAGTTCAAGCAGAGTAGCTTTAAAAGCTGCCTTAATGACATCTATAGAAAAATCATCCAACTCAGCTTTCATCTTCAGACAGAAGGTCAGAGCTCACAGATTTTGTTGTTCAGCAGCTTCCATTTTGACCCCCTTTTCCCATCCCCACCCCATCCAGCCAGTGGGTTTAAAGGATGCTTAAAATACTGTTTATTCTTGGTGTATCAGAAGTCCCAGATACTCTGGAGATTGAGAAAGTACAAAAACAATGTTTCAGCATTCTCAGTTCCAGATGGACCTCTTTGCTAAAGCTGTTCGCTCGCGTTCATGGGAGGAATGAGCCCTTTTTTGAGCTGGTATTTATTTATGCTTGGCTCAGAAAGGGACAGGCAAGTTTTGGTGTTAAAGTGGTTTCATCAAGAGACTTCTGGGTGGGCTCTGGATTTGCACTATACAGGCTTGGGCACAGATAGAAGGTGGGCTATGCTTCAGGCTGCTGTCTTTCTAGGCATGTGGTCCTTTTTCTGCTGGGTACAGTGGTACTCCCTCTCTGAAAGAAACTTGGAAAAGGTGGTGAGGTCTCAGGAGAGGAGGGCATAGCAAACATTTTGTTCCCTTTCACCTACATCACAAAAGTACAGGAAAGCAAATATAGCCAGGTCAAGGTGGGCATCATTCTGGCCAGAAGCTGTGCGTGGGAATTTTAGCTGATTTCATCTGAATCTGCTGATCACATTGAAAAGTTTTCCAAAATATTCACATGTCTTGGACTCAGAATTTTTGTTTTCAGAGAAGCCTTAGGCATGCTGGAGCTTAAGTACCACTGACAGAGAGATGTAGACTAAATTTTTATCCCTGTTACTGTAACAGACCTGATTTTTCAAGAATGCTGTACACGCAATATCTAGCTCCAGAAACTTCAGCTGTAAGGATCCCTATGTAAAAGTCATACACTGCGTGCAGCAAACCAGCTATAGCTCCCCAACCTCTAGGTCCCAGAGCCCTTCTCTCTGCTTCATGCTTCCTTTATGCAGTCAGTTCCTAGTATCTATTAAGACTCTAAATCCAACTACCCTTCATGTAACTGTAGAAATGTCTGTGGAGCAACAGAGCCTGTTGGTGCATAACTGGAATATTCTGGCACAACTGTGATACAAATACCATCTTGGAGGTATGTAGGAGATAAACAACAGTTTTCCTAGAATGTTTCTATATGGGAAAGTTATAGGACTGGCAGCAGTGCAGTTATTTATTCATTGCAAGCTACACTACTCAACTGTGTTTAGTGTAGCCTGAAGCAACCACTCTGTCATGGGAAAAGAGGTATTAATTCCCTTTTCTGTGCCACAGCAGCCCAGGCTTCGAACAAAAACACTGTGTACACTGAACTGTGGAAACTTACAACCTTGTAATCAGATGTTACACTATTGACAGTGATTTGGGGAAGGGTGGGAAAAAGAGGGGTGGTTTGTTATCTGGTTTGGATGAGGTAAACCCATAAATGTGAAAGTTAGTTGGTAACTGAGAAACTGACACAGATATATGAGTTTTTAAAGTCTGTCAGTGAACTTGATGGACACAGGAGTTTTGGTCATTTTGTGCAGAGCTGACCTTATGTCTGAACTGACAGCTAAAGTTGAAGGAGTTGCAGAACTATAAGATGTGAAATAAGAAAGATGATTCATTCAGGACACTTGGAAGTCAAGGAGTGCTAGTGAAAGGAGCCAGGCTTTCTTGGCTCATACAGGCGCATTAATTGAGGAAGATGTGTTTGCTTTAGGGCATGACCAGTCAGACATCAAGCAACACATGATTTCTCATTTGGAGGAGGAAGGGATAGCATTAAATGCTCTTCACAGAGGACAATGGAAACCCTTGTCGTTCTGTCACACCACAGTGGTATTGTTTAGAGCAGGGAAATGTAAAAACCTTGTTATATCCATATACTCCTGATGTTAAGCTCTGGGGCGTTGTGTGTGGGAGTTGCTTTTGGTGCCAAGGAGCAGGCAGTGATTTCAAGATTTTGGCTAAGTAGACCTATCTGGTAAAAAGAGACTGCAAATGGACGTAGGATGACATGATTGCAGTACTAGGAGGAAGAAAGAGCCTATGAGTCCTATGTGGATTACAGCAGAGGTAGGATTTTCATAATCCAGTAAATATGTGGGCTGAGTATTTCTAGCAATAATTGTTTCACCTTTGGTGCTTCCAGCAAAAAATTCAGTACTTTGTGGTTAAAACAGCAAAGCAGAATGGAAGAAACCTGTATGCTGCTCTTTGGAGAAACTGATGGCATGGCATTGTTTCATTACGTACTGATCAGTTCCTATTTAGGTTTTGGCTTAAAAATGCCAGCACTTAGAGCAAAAGGCATTGGTCAGGCTGCAGCATTCAGTCAAGAAAGATGCAGTCTGAATACCTGACCAAGGACACTAATGTTTGACCTTTCCTACAACAGAGTAAGACAGTGAGTCAATATGGATCAGGTGGTCAAACAGCACCCAAGCTTTGTCAAAGCCAAATTACACATAGCGAGAGGATTTACCTGATAGAGAAAGACTGTAGAGCACTACTTGTATATGCCAGAGAATCTCACAGAGGTAAATATTAAGTCACTTAGTTGGTTTTTTTTATTATGACTAAGTTCCAGACCAGCTGACGGCTTTGTTCGGAGAGTTTCACAATACCTCTGACCACATGTAAAGTTTTTGTAAAAGAATGCACATAAAATGCTGGAGACATGTCCAGTCACTACATTATTCATGTGGGGTATGTTGTAAAGCAAGAAGAGGGTGAAATTTTACAGACATTCCAAAATAAATAAAGAGTCTAGATATAAAAATTTTCTGGAAAAGGATCTGTATTAACTTAGAATGTGAAAACATTTATTTCTATCTGTAAGGATGTGTGCATTATTCTTGATACCCAGGTCTGTATGTCCTGTTGAATCAGCTGTATAGGCATTTATAACTTGGAGAAGTCTTTTGTAATGTGTTTCTCTTGGCAGCCAATCCTATATCCTTTATGAAGGCATCTAAAGGGGAAAGGATAATTTGTGATGAAGTAAAAAATCTGCTCAGACTGGAAAGATATAACAGTCCTTTCTGTATAAGAACAAGTTTATAATACAGTCTGTGTATATGGCTCATTCTGTAAAACAGAATGATTGTAAAAACTGTGTTTGCATCAGATAATCAGATAACCCACCTATTCTGAAAAAAGCTACTGTAAAATTTTTAACAGAGATACTGGTATGAGTCTTGAAGAGAAAATTTAGGCAAAAGATCGTCAGATGCAGAGAGCACTTGCATTGAAAGCAAAATCTATGTTTTGTAACTCTCTCTTTTAGATTTGACCAAAAGTTTGGATGCATGCAAAACTGAAGGTTTTTTTATAAGTTTATCATCTTGAGTCTTGTAGATTCTGTTCAATGAAAAGTCAGATTTATATGTGCATAGAGGTAGGTCACAATCACTTTCCTGATGTCTTTTGAGTCTGGCAATCAGAGTGGTGAGATTCTTCATAGTGCTTAAAGAAGTATTTGTTAGTAAGGAAAGCAGCAATTCCAAACAGAATGAATTATGCTCCATTTTTCTTTGTCTCCAGAAACCACTTCCTTTCCTGAGAGCATCCAAACAGCCAAAAGGCACTAGTGACCAAACAGCATAATTACAATTAGAACTAATTACACAAATTAATCTTCTGAGACTTACTGTGGAGATGGGGAATACATATGAAATTTAAGTTTGTATTCCCAAAGTTCGGCTAAGTCTGAGTCTGGTTTTGGCATAGCCCTGTCATACTTCCAACTAACTAGTTAGCTCTTGTTTTCTTTGGATATTTTTCCCAAGTGTGCTTTTTCACTGTGACTTATGCAGGATAAAACAAACAAGGCTGGAGTGTGTAAGCAAGCTTCTGGAAGAGTACTAAGTCACACTATATAAACCCTACACATAGGAAAAACCTGTTGTCTTTGCAAGCCCATAGAAACATTCTCTGGATGGAGCAATGCCTAAAACTTATGATTGATTGGGCTTTTGTTTGTTTGTTTGTTTGTTTGTTTTGGTTTTTTTGTTTGTTTGTTTGTTTGGGGTTTGGGTTTTTTCTGTTTGGTTGGTTGGTTTGGTTTTTTGCTTGTTTTGTTTTTTGTTTCTTTTCTTTTCCTTTTAGATCCCATTAGACAATGTATTGTGCATTGCAGAGAAGGGTGGATTGGAAAATAACTGATGTCAAATGGTTAAACACTAAATGAATCATGAAGCTTGGAAAACTGGAAATTTGTTAATAACTCTCTTGAGGCTATTATGTTTTTTTTCTTTTTTTTTCAGCTAGTAGGGGAAATTTATGGCAACATGCAAAGTGGGTCCATAACTGAACATTTGAATGTGGGACAAAATGGAGCTGCATTGGCTTTTGATGCCTTGTCTTGATTTTGTGTTATTCTAAATGGTAAATGCCATAAAATTTTTTTTTGGTATCTTTTAACAGTTAGGTAGTGATCAGATGTTTCATCAAGAAAAAATTAGTGATATTTTAAATTCTCTTTCACAACTTAAGTAGCTACAATGTTCTAATCCTGCTATAAGTATCTCTTAAATTCACTAATACCATCTTAAAACTTGGTGTCAAATTACATTAAGGTAGTGGGGTTTGGGGAAGGAAAAGTGTGTGTATTTTTGTTAAAAGTGTATTGATGTAGTGTTTGTAGCCAAGAAAAGGCTGTAAAAAACATTGGTGATTTTATCCTTTTATACCAAGCCCACTAATGACACAGCCATTAGACTATAAAATCTTCCCTTTATTTTAAAAATACATCATGCCCCTCTCTTTCTCGGTGGGATAATCAGGCGTTATGGCTTCTGCATTTGTTGGTATTCTTATAATTTTGGGAAATGTCCTCCCAGTATATGAATGCCTTCTAGCAGTGTATATTCAGTGGAAGAAGAAAACACAATTATTAGAAGTGATTCTTGGAGTCTTTGATGCATTTCCCTTAAAGCTTGTACCATCTGGGATTGTGGAACCCAGGAATAAAAAGCAATTAATTAAAATTTGGGGGGGAAAAGGTAATTTTTAGTCCCTGTGATTCTGCTGAAAAAGCTTTGGAACTATAATGCTTCAAAATGCAAGGGGCAAAAAAATTAAAAACTCGAAAAAAAAACCCAACTTCTGATTTAAACCAGTCTTATTATTTGAGTCTGTGTGTAAATTGTGCTTGTTGAGTGCTTCAGATTACTGTTTCTGAGGTTTTCTAGGTTATATTTTTTGGTTATGTTTATGCTATGAATTACTTCATAGTTTGTTGGGGGTTTTGGAGGTTGGAGGTTGTGTTGTTTACATTTGTGGATTGATTGCGAACAGTTTCCCAGAGAATATTCAATATCTAAAATTTCAGCTGGGTTGATTAGCTGTGAATGCTCACATATGTTGTGTGGCTTTGTTCCAGTTCCTGGATTCAATGAGCATAACAACTGTGGCAGTCTGGATTTTGAAAAGTACTGATGGTATCTGGAAGGCACCAGTTTTCTTCAAGTCCCATTGGCAAAGACAGAGAGAGAAGGACAGGTCCCATTCAGGGACCTGAATGGAACAGGACATAAGGACACTAATGACACTTCCCTCTACTTTCTCAGGTAGCTGTACATGCTTTTCCAAATAGAGATCCTTTTATGATTTTGAGCAGCAAAAGGGGTTGGTGCTGCCACTGGCTGCTTTTTTCCAAGGCTTACTCAGCTGTCACAGGTGAAGTTCCAAGACTGAATTTAAGTGGAAGCAACAGTGGGATGTAGTGGAACTAGAGAGAAATGCTGTCATGAACACAGATTTCTGCAGATAAAAATTATGCTTCAAGCCCTTTAAACACATGTTATTCTTTGAACATAAAGGGCTGCGTTTGTTAATTTTCCTTCTTTGGCATGATTGGCAGCCTATCTGCTGAGACAAGACAGAATAACAGCCAGGGAGAGGTTCGGTGGGGCAGAAGAGTAGGCAAGCAAATCTGTCCAACATATGGAAGTCTTAATGTTGCAGCACACAGCCTGGGACAGGCACTGCCTTCTTAACTTCCCGGAAATCCAAACATCAGTGCCATTCCTTCAGTCCAAAGGAAGAGACATTTGGCCTAAATAGGTGGAACCTAACAACCATAATCAGACTATTTGTGGATGTGTTTGCTTTGCTGGAGCTTACAGGCATATGTGTTGATAAAGGGTCTAAATGGCGAGTGTGTTCTAAGAGAGGGCATCCAAGAGCTTCATATTAGAATCCGCAATGTTCTCCTTATTTCAGTGCTGAGCTAGTTGCATTTTCTTTTGTTCTTTCAACAGGTTAGTAATTACTGTTGCAGTAATTAGGCATGATGGAGAGTATATAAGACAATAAATGGTTATTCTGTGCAGTAGTGGGGGATATTTGGTGCCAAGCTTATTATTTTCAGTCAAAGCTAATTATCTCTATTATAATACATGACTCTCTTCCTTGAATTATGAGTGGGAAACTGCTGAATAGATTTTATTTTTTTTTCAAAGTGCCCTGAACCATGGAGAGAAATGAAAATTAAAAACAATGAAAAGCTTGTTAGACAATGAGACGACTCATCTATAAAGCTATTTCTGATAGAATTTTTTCCCCTCCTCTCTTGTCTGCAGTTATATAAATATCAAATGCTTATCGGGAAATAAATTGTTGCATTACACATGGCACGGGTATAAAAGTTTAGCTCAGACATCAGAGAAACCAGCATGGATTCAGTGGGTTGCAGGCAGGGAGCCGTGCGGTCACCCCTGGACTCAGCTGTGCTGCCCTCGGCCCGGCCCGCCTCCGTGAGCAAGGGATTTGCAGATGTTCCTATCAAGCGCCTTTGAAAAAGACTGGCTGCCCACAACTGGCATCTGTTTTGCTTGTGTTTAGGCCCTGCCCTGGATCTGAGCAGGGAAGCAATGTCAGAAGGAATTATACCCTCTGGCTGGCTTAGCCCGAGCGATAAGGACGGCAGAGAGCGTGACTTTGACTGGTAAGGTTTGTGTGCTCGGCAGATGCTACCCTGTCATTGATTAATAATGCAGCCGTCCGTGCTCCCCTTACATCATGGTTTCAATTTGTAGCAGTGACAAGGCTGATCACCTTTCCAGTCCTAGCCGGCTTACAACATACCCTGGGCCTGCTTTGCCCCACACATCCGAATCATGCTGTAACCTGACCCCCTGACTGGTGAAACCCGTAGTAGGGCCGCAGCTCACTGCCAGCGCCGGCGGCCCCAGCTCAGCCGGCTCCCGGCACCCCGTGCCTGGATCGCCTTCCCGTGGGGACTGGGGAGCGAGCCTGAGTGGGAGGAGGTGCCACACAGCCACGCTTTGTCTGAATGCGCTGACAGCCGCCCATAGCGGGGACGGCAAAGAGCTGGGAAGCGCTCCTGGCTTCTGCGTTCGCAAGGCAGTCATTGAGATACCCTCGTCAGGCTCTGTCGGGTGATTGATGGGGCAGTGGGAAAGGCAGCTGGTCGCTGTTGCTGTTTGCTGTGGAATGTAAATATTCCTGTATCGAGAGGGCATGGAGCAGGGAAATGCGTGCCTGTGAGTGTGTGCGCAAAGGTCTGCCATTTCCTGCCTTCCACACAGACTTCTCCTAATTTTAAAAATTTTGGTTTTAATTGAATTCCTTAGAGAAGAGAAGCAGTAAAGCTTTCCTGCGAATTTACAAGGCAGCTTTCCATAGAAATTCTGTAGCGTGCTTTCCCATGTGCTACACAACAGATGTTTGAAGCTGATCGGTGTCATGTGTTGCATTTTGCGGTACTTTAATACGTGCTTTTGAGAGACAAGCAGTACAAAGAGGAACCGAGACTCTAAGATGGATATAATTTTCACAGTGCTGTCTTTGGTTACTCCAGTAAAACCACATCAAACTATCCCTGTGCTGCTCATCTGCAGTCTAGGCTAAAAGCTGCTTGACTCCTGGCAAAAATTTCATCCTTTACCTGCACAGTAATTTTTCCAGCAGTCCCTTGCACTACACAAAAGCTCCGTTTATTGACAATATAGATTTTCATACTCCTCATAAAACTGCAAATCAGACTTTCTCAGTTTTCTTTGGTAATGGCATTGTTAAACAGAGGTGATGTAACCGAACTGCTTTTTTGATGATGCAGGCTTTGTTTATTTAAATTTATGGTGTAATACAAATTGTCTTTCTCAAATTAAGCATGATTTTGTGACCTCTGTGCAGGGAACTTGCACAGAAGATTACTGTCTGATATTCATCGTGTGCTATCCCAAATCTTAGTTCAGGTCAGTGATTGCATTTTGAGAGCTTCCTTTTAGGAGTGGCTAAGCTGAGCCATAGCCAATATACCTTACTAAATCACTTTCTTGGTGTCACTGAATGTCCAGTTTGATGAAAATGGAAGGTGCTTATCAATAAACTGTTTATAGATCCTGTAAGGCCGTAGCCATATGTTCAACAGGGGTGGCAGAGAATTTTAAAAATAGTAATAAAAACAGGAGCTATTCAAAGGTGGTGTTTCAGATTTTTTTCATAATGTCCCTATCAATTAAGATAATCAGTGGGTGAGGAAGAATTCACATGCATTAGCATTCAATAATATTTATTTACATGAGAGAGGGTTTTAATATAGGACCCTGAAGTGGCTAAAGGCTACTTGAGTTGGTCTAGAAGCTGTGTAAGAGCTACTAAGAAAGCATTAGTATGTAAATTAAAGACAACACAGTCAGCTATACTTTAAATTGCATCTAAATAAGGTTATAAAATATTTATCTGAGATGCAGGAGAAGTGTAAGCCTCTTGACTTTCACAAGGCAAATATATCTATGGCACAAACAGATGAAAATAGAGGCAGTTTTCACATAATCAAATGTATAGCACTCACTCCTTCATTCCTTGGCCTGAGAATCCAAAATTTAGTAGCTAACAAGTAAATATTGTAAAGCATAGTATTAGTGGATTAGATCTGGCAAGAAACAAAACTCCAGACTAGGAACCTGCAGTACCTGAGAGGAGGAAAATCCATTAAACATACACAACAGTAAATCATAATGATAATCTTGTAGAGATGTGTCTGCAAACTGTAACTCAAAAAACCAAACTAACCCATTTACAGCTTCCAGCATCTCACCAGAATACCTTTAGATGCTATTAGCCTATTTTTGTTTTATGTCTCTTTTGTAGTGGCAACTTAACTGTTTTAAAGTGTATCTCTGTGGGAATTGATGGGTTTTATTATGTATGTTTTTGTACTATAAGAAGGAGAATGATCGATTTTGTTTATGATTATGCTGGTTGTTGTTGTTTGGCTGCGAGACAAGGTTGCTATCAACAGAAGGGATGAAGCATGAGGTAATGACTACAACTTAAATGAGATCACTTGTCATACCTGCTTTTTGCTTGGACTGATCATCAAGTATCAGGGCACAGTCAAATGCCATGTGTGTTCTCTTTCATGTTTACAAACTGGCAAGCTTAATGGACGATAAACTTTGACATTTCCTAACAGTTTCCTTTGCCCTTGAAATCCAAGCTGCTAGTTCTGTGCTAAACTATTTAGGATCTACTGAGAGTCAGTGGAACAGTTTATATGTCCAGTTTGCTTAAGTATTCCCTGACCTGATTCTCCTCTGCTAAGGGTGTATTTCGCTTGTTCCAGCCTTTCTCCACAGTCTCTAGGACCTCAGATTCCTGAAGGCCAGTCCTGCTACAAGATGAAGGCAGTGTTTGGTACTTTGGTCTTTTCCATATCCTGTGTTACCAGATCCCCAGTCTTGCTGAATAACAGGCTCACATTTTCCCTAGCCTTCCTTTTGTCACACATGCGCTTTACAAAAGCCCTTCTTGTTGTCTTTGATATCCTTCTCCAGATTCAGTTACGTTTGGGCTTTGGTGTAACTAACTTTGGTGCTCAGACACTGCCTCCATATTCCTTCTAGGTTATCCTCCACCCTCTGTATGCTTCATTTTTGTTCTTGAGCTGGTCTAGGAGTTATTTTTTCATTCATGCAGGCCTCCTGACATTTTTTAAAATTGTTGGGATGGACCTCTTTTGATCTTAGAGGAGATAGATGATCCCTTTAATATTATCCAGCTTTCTTAGGCCTCTCTTCCCTCCAGTTCCTTATCTCAGGGGACTCTTCCAAGCAGATTTTTAAAGAGTCGAAAGTCTGCTCTCCTGAAGTGCCCAGGGTTTTTGAGCTTGATTTTCACCCTCCTCTCTGCCCTCAGGATCCTGAACTCCCCCATCTCATAATCTCTTCAGCCAAGGCTGACCTTGACCTTGATCTTCACATTCCCAATTAATCTCTCCTTGTTGGTGGGCATGAACAGCAGAAAATTTCTTGTCATTGGGTCTTGTCATTCATGCGCTCTAGAAACCTCCTGGATTTTTTATTGTCCTGCTGTGTTGTCCCTCGAGCAGATATTGGGGTGGTATAAGTCTCTTAGGAGGTCCAGGCCTGCAAATATGATGATAAAGTTGCTTAAACCGTTAGGACAATCCAGTGAGGGAATGGAAAGAACAATACTGATGATAGAGAATTTTTATGTTTGTGCAGAACTGTGGAAATACATTCTGTCTTGCATACTGCTTGCTGAAAAAGTTACTACAAATATCCCTCTCCATACTGGAGACTTATTGCCCAAACTAGAGTTACTGTCCCCTTGGACCTGTGGCTCGGCATCATGGGAACTGCTTAAACCTGTTCATGTCAGAAAAAAACCCTGAGTGCACAAAGACTAAATATTTAAACACTTTTGGCCAACTTCATTCATTTTGCCTGAAGCACACTCGCTCCCTAGCAGGTCAGCTTGCTGTAACCTCTGGCAAGGGTGAGAAGCAGCTGGGAAGATCATCATCTTCAGCTGGCATAACTAGGTCTGTAAAAGGACTTCTATCTTTGGCTTTTCTCCACTCTAGACATACTCTGCATATGACTAATTTGTTTTTTAAAAGAAAGCCACAGAACACTTACCCAAAGAATTCTGCTGCAGCAGCATTCCTGCTGAGAGGAAGACTGAGCTATGGTCTTGTCTTGGTCTGGGAGATGAGAAGTATGATGGTGTTTGTTATTGGTCTAACCTGGAGTAGAATGGCCAGTCAAGAATTATACAAGGAAAGAGAGAAATGCTGCTCAGAAATGAGACCTTCAGTGTTTACTTATACCCCTGAACCTGCTTGAGTATTGAGCATTGGCATCATGAGGAAGAGACACCATTTGAAAAGACAGAAAACAAAAATGAGGGAGGAAATACTGAATCAGATGAAGTCTGTCAAATGCAAACATGAGAAGACAAATGCTTTGTGAAAGGGTCTTAAATTTTTGCTCTTTTCTTTGACTGACAAGCAGTACCACCAGGACCTAAAAGCTTTATTCCTGGACCCATATGGACCAGAAGTGCTAGTTTCTTTTTCTAACTTCTTGGCTAGCTGCAATTTGCCAAGTTTTGCCCGAAGTTCTTATAATTAATATAAATTTTAATTTAGGAAAGAGTTGGACTCCATTGATGGGACCATATCACAAGCAGGATTGATAAAAATAGACTCAACTACAGGAGAATTCCTTCTCGTGTTAAGGCAACACCTGTACTGCTACACCAATTGTTGGATGGACAGGGACTTCCTGAGGCATCTGCAAAATCTGGTGTAAAGAGCTAAACTCCTCTGGCAGAGATCCATGACAAATTGCTGGAGAGGAGAAGAGAACCACCCAGGTATGTTCAAGTTCTGGACTCCAGGTAATTGAGTACAAGGCTCTCACTTCCAAAATGAACTGTTGAAGAGGAAAAAATCCTTCAGCTTTTGATATCTGTGACAAACTGGCGCATTCTGACATCCTAGCAGCCATAATCCTCCTCTTTGCTTTTCTGCTTCATCTTTGATGAACTGCGAATGTCACAGGCCTTAGAAGTTCACTTGCAGGTTTTCCATTGTGCTTCCACCACTGTCACCCCTACATCTCACAAAGCTGAGTGTTTTTTCAAGATTTCCTTAAATTCTGTACTG